GTATCACCATGAACATGAACAGTACGTGTAGACTAAATACTTTCCGATTACGAATACAGTGAATATTGAAAGTGCCAGAACTTTCATTCCAAACTTCCTAAGCAAAATTATCATAATGAACGACATACAAAAGTGCCTACGAATTAACAAAAATGTATGTCAATTAACAAAAAATTCCTAAGCAAAATCATCACAGCTGTGACAAGATAGAGAATATCGCCTGACTTTTCTCAGCTTTTGTGAACAAGTGCATAGCTCTAAGAATCTCTCTACCTTAAATGTAACCATCACCTCCTATGCATATATGTTCAGGACAAACACCTAGATGTAAGTTTCTGCAGATCGATACCTCTTGGGATGGGTCTGCAATGGAAAAGACCATAACAAAACTGTTAAAAATATCCAATTCTGGGATTAAAGACCAAATTGGTAATCCCAATGGATATTTAACAAATGTTTCTAAAGGCATATGTCGTATCATGTGGCCTGAAATAGATGAGGGCATACATACCCATGAACGGTTGTCCTTTCTTCATATGCAGTGAATTACCAAGATAATAAATACTGGACGTATTCCAAGTTTGTAGTGCTATAAACATGATTGGTACAGCCTCCGGGTCCGGGGTCACTCGTGTCAATCTTCTTGGATTTTCTGCGATCGTCTTGTAGGCATAGAGAAACAAAATCTGCACAAACAAAGAAGAGAAGCTCTAAAAGTAGAGCACTGAAATAGGGGGGAATCAGGAAGACATAGAGAAACAAAATCTGCACAAACAAAGAAGAGAAGCTCTAAAAGTAGGGCAATGAAAGAGGAGGGGAATCAGGAAGACATCTAAATCCATAATTCTAAAGCTAAATATATCAGCATCAGATATGAGGAGGCTTTGACCTATAGTTCTTTCTCCCCTTACAATAGAGGTGACACCAAAACTTTCAGCTATTACTAAAGCACATCAAACGAATTGATTAAATCGGTAACCAAAATAGTAAGAAGCATTTATGATACTATATACTTATAAAATACTATAGGGAAGGAAGGAGTACTGCAGTTTGTTTTGGATATGTCTATAATTTAGGGAGTCTTTACAAGTGATGTAGTTCAAGCTACTCACTTTAATATATCAGCTATGGTACAGATAAACCTATATAGAATGCTTCTGCACAATTTGATAAAAGAGATTAAATACTGGTTTAGCTATTGTTGCCTCGATTTTAAACATAAATGTACCTAAAACCCAAGATATGAGTGTGTAATTTACTTGGCCGAGTTAGATACATGATGTACTTGTCAGATTATTGGAAAGATTTTGTAACGAGTCTACTTCTACAGGTGGCCTATTTTTTCTGTTAGATAAACACTGGATTAACTATTGAGTTATGTAGTCTTCTCAGTTGATGTTTTTCTCAGTTAGCTGAACAAAAATGTCTAGCATATAATAATGTATATATGAAAATAATGCTGATAAAGTACACTATCATGACAAACTTTATGGTGTAATTTCCTTCATATTACGTGAGTCTCCTTATCTAACATATGCAATGCAAAAGATTGGGCATTACCATGTAAGTTTTGCTACATCATGAACTTACTGGACGTATTTAGATAAATTAACACTCCGCTTTACTGGATCGAGTTTCCTAAACACTTCATTGTGTGCCAAAGATTTAATGAACCATGCCATTGCTACATGAAAAACCACAAAGAGAACCTTAGCAAAAAAGATACTTAAATGATTAAATCACAAATAGCAACATATTTAACATCCCCTGAACTAAATATACTTAAATAGTCTTGATGCCAAGTTTACATCAATAACCACTTTTCTTTGTAACAAAAAGAGGATGTCAAGCAAGACACTTCTTACATCCCTTTAGAATATTGCTACATCAGTGCATGCTAACAGTAGCATGAAAAAAGCAATTGGCCTAGCTGGTATATGTATGTTCTGACCAAATCTGAATAAGTATAATGCTCTAATGCTTAATGTTATTTTCACATACGAACCTATTCTGTCAACAGTCCAACCATCCAAGTATGGATTCATATATGCATGTACCCTGCATACCATGAATGAATTTAGTAATAAAGCAAACAGCCAGCACTTGTGGCAGAGGCTATTGTGTCCAATTGATTTTGTTTGTATCCGTAGCGTTTATGGCCGGCCACAAAATCGATCGGCAGAGGCTATTGTGTTCGTGAGTGTCCAAGTTATTGGAGCCAGCTCTGTGCAACGATCAAAATTCGAATCGGAGGTCGAGTACGCATTGCTGCTGTACAAAGCATCAGCCAACAGTATGCCGGAAGTAGAAGTCAGCTTGCTTCGTCATCATCGTCGCCATAAGTACTCTGGTGTGGCGCTGTGCTAATAAATTGTACGCATGAACTAATTCCACCCCTTGATCACCACCGTCAACCAAACAGGAATATTTGTCATCAGACTGATGAAAAGCGAACTTGAATCTGACTTGGGATCGAGGGGGTGGAATTTGGTTAGAGCAAGAACACCACCGTCGTCCCACAGGGAAGAGCGTGTGCACCTCCGTCGTGCATCTCCTCCTTAATCCTCTTTTGTTCGTCGGGTGGACAGGCGGCGCCGCTAGAGCAGGACGGAGCCGGACGTCTGTACGGCCTACGTTGCTCTGCCGAGGAAGACGTTGATGGCGTTGTGGACCACCACCGCTGCTCGAGCTACTCCAGCCGAGTCCGGAGCTCCTCCTTGGGTCGCCGCTGCAAGCGTGGGGATGGAGGCAGAGGGAACATTAGGCTGTGGGGAAGGGGGAAAGAGGAGGCAGAGTCTGATTCAAAGGGAGGGAGATGGTGAAGCTACAAGCGTGAGCAAGATAGATAGCGGCGCTACTGACCTTTGAGCCGGGATGGTGGCGGCGTCGGGCGCCGGCGGCGGCAGCGGTGGCCGGAACGACGGAAACCCTAGCAGGTGGGTGGAAAGAAGGAGAGAGGATGCGTGTGGGATTAAAAAGTCGAACCATTCGCGCTCCTGCCCAACCCATTCGCTAGCTCCATCCGATTTTCTTGTCGTACCTGTGTCAACGTGGACATTGCGAGGCTACGCTCTTGATGCGTACGTTAATGCTTCTCGATACACGGGACCCATTAATTGTTGGCATTTTTCTATAAAGGGTGGCATTAGATGCAAGTTGCTCACGGTGACGAGCACAACACATGTTCGATAGTGGCTGCAGCGCCGAGAGCCCGCAACCCAATGGTGGCAGTGGGCAACGCCACCTCTTTTTCGATCCTCGAAGGCTAGGGAGAGGTTTTGAGAGATGATTTGGAGATGACATCGTCCATTTCTGGCAGTGCAGCTGCTAGATAGCGGTAACGGGGATGGGGAGGACGGTCAGTTGGAGTCAGAGGATCTTCCTGTTCTATTTTAGTGATAGGTTTTGGAACAACTTTTTGAGGCACGAGAGAGTTTCTGTGGAGCTCAAATAAAAGGAGATAGATGTTTTTTGGTGATAGGTCAGATGTTTATAACTACATGTATGACAGTTTCCCTTAGAGCAACTTAGTAGGTCCTGTAAAAACAATATACGGCCCCCCCTGACACGAATTTACGACATCACATGACATCGAACCGAATAGATCTCATAAACTCATACCGTAAAAAAAATTCTGGCCAGAACGACGGCCACACGCATGCTCCGGTCAATCGCTCACACATGCACAACCAGAACGCATGACCGCCTGCTCTAGTGCTGCTCTTGCTGCTCGCGCTCGATGGCGCCGGGCTGCCTGGTTCGGCGTTGACCGATTTATGAGTTCCCTCAAAAATGACTTGAAAACTGCAAATATGAGGTATGCATGTGATAATATACGGGACCTGTAATTTTTCGGTTATGATAAGTGCCACACATTAGGTAGGTGGCACTCCAACCTGACATGTTTGGCAATACTAGTCACGTAAATATGGCAAAATTCAATGACAAACGACAAGTTTCTGTCGAAAAATAAATTGAAGCATGAAAGTTGTTATACTTGCTAACTAAAGTTGTCATATTCATGTCATTAAACTTACATTCAAAAACGTTTGAAGTTGCATGCACTCGTATACGCGTGACATTTATTAGGATCCATTTTTTTCTCAAATACCTCCGTTTCATAATGTAAGGCGTTTTTTTACACTACTATAGTGTCAGAAAAAGTCTTACATTATGAAACGGAGGGAGTATTTTTTAAGGAATTTATTCTATGTGTTTTCAACGTACAGTACAAATTTAAAGGCTTAACCACTTTGGGTGGTTGCTTTGGCAAACGCTGCCCAACCGCGCCGCCTTTTCCCCCTACTTGGTACTCCCTCCGGTCCTTTTTACTCTGCACATTGGTTTTGCCGAAAGTCAAACTTTACTATGTTTGACCGAATTTATATTAAAAATTATTAGTATCTATAATATCTAATAAATATAATATGAAAACATATTTCAAGATGAATCTAATGATATTGATGTTGTTATGTGAATGTCTATAATTTTTTTATATAAACTTGATTAAAGTTGGATGAGATTGATTTCGGACAAACCTAATATGTAGAGTAAAAAGGACCGGATGGAGTAATTGTACTCTCATGATTATTCGCACGCAGCTACGCGACGGCGGCTGGCTGGCGGAGAAACAAATTTGCGACGGCACGCTTGAAGAAGAGAGTTGCAACGTAGCGGCGGCGCGGAGGAGGCCTGCTGCGTGTGGCCTACCGGGACGCATCGGCCTCGAGATCGCAAGGTATCTCTCGCTCACTTGATCACCCGAGAGCACTCGAGAAGAACACAGCGCCCGACGAATTTCCCCTTTCGATTCGGCCCCCTCTTTTATTTACCTAAAAATTGCTGAATTAGGTGTGGTTTCGTATCCCCTCCATTTGTTAAACTCTCCACCTGTGATTAAATTCGGTTTTAAAAAATCGGTTATCCCCAATCTATGAGAGTTGGAACAGACGGGGTCATCCCCACGCGCTCTAAATCGTCTCGTGCGAACCGATTTTCAGATGAGACTGGTCGGCTTGACGGGTGGAATTGCTTCGGGGAAGAGCACCGTCTCTGGCCTCTTCAAATCCGCCGGCGTCCCTGTCGTCGACGCCGACATTGTGGCTCGGGTAAGCATCCAGCATCCAGCATCGGTATGCCGAAATATGCGCTTGCTGCTGCTAGATAGTACAATGCTGTGCCTTTGCAAGCAATGTTGTTGTTTTACTCGATTCAGTCACAACCAGGGTAGTACAGAATAGAATGTGGCTAATTACTTTTGTATAGCATGCAAGTAGGCTGGTCACATCAGCTTTTTGGGGATTAATAGTTCTGTAAAAAAACTCCATCCTCGTCCTAATCAATGTGATCACTGATCAGTACAAAACTGTTTCTATTTTATTGTGTCGTTACTCCCTGAGAACTGACGGCAACACTTGGTAATCTGGCAGTATTGACTTTAACTATGTGACAAAGTTCTATAACATGGAATCAAACTGCTCAATTTAGCTTTATGTTGAGGCCAAAGACATATACTGGTTTTCACAGTGGTGTTTTTTCATCCCTGCTGCTACTTGCAGACTCACAGTAACAGGACAGAACTGGGAGTTTTGTTGGGCGGTTAAGAAATGTGAGTGGAATGACCCCATACCCCCTTCTTTGTTATTCAGTGTGGATTATAGGATGGGAAATCATGTGCATTTATAGGCTAAAGAAGTAGCCGCCGAGAGAATACTTATTTTTTGTTGCTATATGGCTATAAGAAGGAAGTTAGAGCCTTAAATTCCTAATGCCATGCTCAAACCCATGGGAATAGATTGGCGTGAGTTGAGGTAAAAAAAATCTGCATTCTCTGTCTAATTGGAACTCTGAATCTGTCAGCATTAACATCTTACCATAGCTGGGATATCTCTTGAACAAAAATATTACAGTGACTGGTACGACGCAAGATTAACTATGTTTTATTTTTGACCATAAGAACTGACAGGTTTATTATAGCGTTTTAAGGTATTTATCTTAATTTGAAGCCACTGCCACTTGAGCAAACGTGATTTTAGCCAATTGTATGTATGCATTGCTTATTGCTATTATAAATGTCTATGGGATGACAAAAATCAATGGTACAGCATTATTACAATCCCTGGTATGATGCGATATGAATTATGTTTGACGAGGGGCTTTGGACCAGTTGGGTGTACATCAGTACATGGCACTTTGCTTTCATATTTAGTACTTGAGCTTCAAACTGCAAAGTATGCCTTTTGCTGTTGTAAACTTATTAAGTTATTATGTGTAGTGAAATTCTACCAGACACTGATAATTGACTTTCTTGTTTTTGTTTGAACTTTATGCTGATTACGGAGACATGCATTTACAGAATGTAGTGCAGAAAGGTACTGGAGGTTGGAAGAAGATTGTAAAAACTTTTGGAAATGACATATTATTGGAAAATGGAGAAATCGACAGAGCTCTCTTAGGTCAGATTGTTTTCTCTGATCCAGCAAAAAGGAAACTTCTAAACCGGTACAACTCCTACCAACATAAATATTGCATCCTGTTTCCTTTCTTTTCGCTATGGTTACTGAATAGATATGTGATCCAGATTATATATATGGTAATTACTACAAAATTACTGTTTTAAGAAACAATTCCACCTATTTCTGGTATCACGTCTTGCCTTGTTCTGGTTTCTAGAAAAATGCCATACTTCCATTGGATATTCAGTTCACATCAACTGAGTGCATAGATTTCGAGTTATGTTTCATACATGGATGATGAAATGTGATAAGGTTCACCTTGAACAATACTAATTATGTCATATATAAAATAAAAATACCACCGCAAAAGTGGGTACAGCAAGATACTTACATTTCCTAGCATGCTTATACTTTGTCATCAGTAGTCCCTGCGATATTAAGGATTCTTGTTTTTCAACATTATTCCTTGATCCTGGGCCCTGATTAAATTTTGGTTTGTTCATTGTGGCTACTTTCAGTCTTCTGGCCCCACATATTTCATTTGGTATATTTTGGGAGATACTAAAACTGTGGGTGAAGGGATGCACGGTTATCAGTGTCGACATCCCGCTGTTGTTCGAGACAAAGATGGACCGATGGACGAACCCAGTGGTTGTTGTATGGGTGGATCCCAAAACACAGATTGAGAGGCTCATGTTAAGAGATGGGTGCAGCGAGGAACAAGCTCAGAACAGGATCAGCTCACAGCTTGCGCTGGACTGGAAGAAGTCCGAAGCCGATATAGTGATCAACAATTCTGGCTTACTGGAGGACACAAAAGAACAGTTCCGAGAAGTATTGAAGCAAGTCTCTGCTCCCTTGACATGGAAGGAGCGCATGAGATCCAGGGATGGCTTTCTGTCTATCGTCATGTGCACGGCAGCGGGGGTTTTACTTGCTCGGAAGAATCTGGTATGATCTTTGCATCATTAGGAAGTTAGGACTGAACTAGGTTGATTTTTTGAAAATTTGGGAGTGTCGTTGCAGAGCACTAGACCATCAAGATTATGGTTTTGTGTCGTGTCATGTTTTTTAGTTGCCACAAGTGCTGAATTTTGAGTGAATTTTGTTTTTTGTAACCGCAATTGCTTGTCGTTGCAGAGCACTGCTTGCTTGTGTTGTCTCTGTTGTAAACCTTGATTCACTATGGAATAATGGTATGGCTTTTGAGGGGCGGTTAGACATTGACTGATACCAGAGAACAGCAAGAGAGAATATATTTTGCTTATAGTCAAGACTTGACAAATAATCACTCTATTAATATTTTGCTTATACGACAAGATCTCAATAGACAACCCTTTCTTTTGAGCATTTGTGAGTAAGGTCTTCGGCATAGGCCGGTGATGTTGGCGTTCAGATACACTTGAATGTAAGGATGCAGGCGGACGCATCCGCATTTATCATTTTTACATTAGCATGTTTATTAAAGTAGCATTGATTAGCTTATTTTTGGCCTCGCAGACGGCGTCCGCCTGCATCCTACTTGGATGTGGCTTCAATGAGAATTTTGGTTGTAATTTCACCTTTGTTTAGTGTTGTTTATACATCTACGGGTTTAGTTGCCCCCATCATCCGGTTGTGTTTTAGTTTATCTTTATCTAATACAAGATGAATTTGATCTTGATAAGTATTTTCAATATGAAGCATTGACAATCAAAACAAAACAACATGGAAATTGATGACCGACCAAAGTTGACATGCATTTGGAGATCAATGATGGTGACAGGCAAATGACATTTGTTTAAAGTTTACGTGACTGAATGAAAGAAACATAAGGCGTTAAGTTTGAGTGAGAGAGTGGTATGAATGGTTGTCTAAATATTCAAAGTTTGCGTGACCGAATGAAAGAAAAAAAAAGCGTTACGTTTTTAGAAAATTCATTTAAGACATGTCGACAAAGAGTGCTTACCTACTGTAGCCTAGTTGGTCAAGTGTCGATAGCCAAAACCAATGGCAAGTCCGGAGCCGAAAGAATAGACCTTTAGAGGTATGAATGAACCATGCTCCACTACTCTAAGCCAACTCATGTCAACCTATCCTAAAAGCTTGGAGACTTCAAATGACACCACTCAAAGTTTTTGAATGAAAGATAGGATTTTTGGTAGTTCACATGTCTTAACTTGCAGGCTCCAACCGCTCTCTTGGGAGGGTTCACTATATTGGAATTTGAGTTTGGCTACCTACCATTCTCAGAATGTCTGGCGGGCGGATATGACTAGGAGTATGAACTGGCCTTTTGATGCAAACTTCACTAGCGTTGAGGTTCTAGGCAAAAATCACTAAGAGAAACCAAACGGGAGTAGGAAGGTTATGTAACATCCTAGAAGATTCAAACCTGTCAATCAAAGTGTCCGAACCGCAATTAGTCTACCTGATGCACTCTCTCTCAAAGACTCGAAGGGTTCAGAGATAAGCCTCTCGCGGCCAGGCCCCCTCAAGGTGTTGAGAATCGAGACCGAAAGGCTTACGAGCGCAAGGTCAAGGGTCCCGACCCTCACATCCAAAATGCTAGGTCGAGACCCTTGACCCTTTGCCGCACGAGCCAGGTGTTGGAAATATGCCCTAGAGGCAATAATAAATTAGTTATTATTATATTTCCTTGTTCATGATAATCGTTTATTATCCATGCTAGAATTGTATTGATAGGAAACTCAGATACATGTGTGGATACATAGACAACACCATGTCCCTAGTAAGCCTCTAGTTGACTAGCTCGTTGATCAATAGATGGTTACGGTTTCCTGACCATGGACATTGGATGTCGTTGATAACGGGATCACATCATTAGGAGAATGATGTGATGGACAAGACCCAATCCTAAGCCTAGCACAAGATCATGTAGTTCGTATGCTAAAGCTTTTCTAATGTCAAGTATCATTTCCTTAGACCATGAGATTGTGCAACTCCCGGATATCGTAGGAATACTTTGGGTGTGACAAACGTCACAACATAACTGGGTGACTATAAAGGTGCACTACGGGTATCTCCGAAAGTGTCTGTTGGGTTGGCACGAATCGAGACTGGGATTTGTCACTCCGTATGACGGAGAGGTATCTCTGGGCCCACTCGGTAGGACATCATCATAATGTGCACAATGTGATCAAAGAGTTGATCACGGGATGATGTGTTACGGAACGAGTAAAGAGACTTGCCGGTAACGAGATTGAACAAGGTATCGGGATACCGACGATCGAATCTCGGGCAAGTATCGTACCGCTAGACAAAGGGAATTGTATACGGGATTGATTGAATCCTCGACATCGTGGTTCATCCGATGAGATCATCGTGGAACATGTGGGAGCCAACATGGGTATCCAGATCCCGCTGTTGGTTATTGACCGGAGAGTCATCTCGGTCATGTCTGCATGTCTCCCGAACCCGTAGGGTCCACACACTTAAGGTTCGGTGACGCTAGGGTTATAGAGATATTAGTATGCGGTAACCCGAAAGTTGTTCGGAGTCCTGGATGAGATCCCTGACGTCACGAGGAGTTCCGGAATGGTCCAGAGGTAAAGAATTATATATAGGAAGTGCTATTTCAGCCATCGGGACAAGTTTCGGGGTCACCGGTATTGTACCGGGACCACCGGAAGGGTCCCGGGGGTCCACCGGGTGGGGCCACCTACCCCGGGGGCCACATGGGCTGTAGGGGTGTGCGCCTTGGCCTGTATGGGCCAAGGGCACCAGCCCCAAGAGGCCCATGCGCCAAGAGATGAGGGAAAGGAAGAGTCCTAAAGGGGGAAGGCACCTCCTAGGTGCCTTGGGAAGGTGGGACTCCTCCCTGGCCGCACCCTTCCTTGGAGGAAGGGCCAAAGCTGCGCCCCCTCTCCCTTGGCCCTATATATAGTGGGGGGAAGGGAGGGCAACCATACCTAAGCCCTGGCGCCTCCCTCTCCCTCCCATGACACATCTCCCTCCTCCCGCAGCGCTTGGCGAAGCCCTGTTGGAATCCCGCTACTTCCACCACCACGCCGTCGTGCTGCTGGATCTCCATCAACCTCTCCTTCCCCCTTGCTGGATCAAGAAGGAGGAGATGTCGCTGCTCTGTACGTGTGTTGAACGCGGAGGTGCCGTCCGTTCGGCGCTAGGATCATCGATGATTTGTATCACGACGAGTACGACTCCATCAACCCCGTTCTCTTGAACGCTTCCGCGCGCGATCTACAAGGGTATGTAGATCCACTCCTCCCTCGTTGCTAGATGACTCCATAGATTGATCTTGGTGACACGTAGGAAAATTTTGAATTATTGCTACGTTCCCCAACAGTGGTATCAGAGCTAGGTCTATTGCGTAGATTCTATGCACGAGTAGAACACAAAGTAGTTGTGGGTGCTGATTTTGTTTAATATGCTTACCGTTACTAGTCCAATCTTGATTCGGCGGCATTGTGGGATGAAGCGGCCCGGACCAACCTTACACGTACGCTTACGTGAGACCGGTTCCACCGACTGACATGCACTAGTTGCATAAGGTGGCTGGCGGGTGTCTGTCTCTCCCACTTTAGTCGGATCGGATTCGATGAAAAGGGTCCTTATGAAGGGTAAATAGCAATTGGCATATCACGTTGTGGTCTTTGCGTAGGTAAGAAACGTTCTTGCTAGAAACCCATAGCAGCCACGTAAAACATGCAAACAACAATTAGAGGACGTCTAACTTGTTTTTGTAGGGTATGCTATGTGATGTGATATGGCCAAAGGATGTGATGAATGATATATGTGATGTATGAGATGATCATGTTCTTGTAATAGGAATCACGACTTGCATGTCGATGAGTATGACAACCGGCAGGAGCCATAGGAGTCGTCTTAATTTATTTATGACCTGCGTGTCAACATAAACGTCATGTAATTACTTTACTTTATTGCTAACCGTTAGCTGTAGTAGTAGAAGTAATAGTTGACGAGACAACTTCATGAAGACACGATGATAGAGATCATGATGATGGAGATCATGGTGTCATGCCGGTGATGATGATGATCATGGAGCCTCGAAGATGGAGATCAAGAGGAGCAAAGTGATGATGGCCATATCATGTCACTATTTGATTGCATGTGATGTTTATCATGTTTTTGCATCTTGTTTGCTTAGAACGACGGTAGTAAATAAGATGATCCCTCATTAAAATTTCAAGAAAGTGTTCCCCCTAACTGTGCACCATTGTGAAAGTTCGTCGTTTCGAAGCACCACGTGATGATCGGGTGTATAGATTCTTACGTTCGAATACAACGGGTGTTGACAAGCCTAGCATGTACAGACATGGCCTCGGAACATATGCGAAACACTTAGGTTAACTTGACGAGCCTAGCATGTACAGACATGGCCTCGGAACACAAGAGACCGAAAGGTCGAGCATGAGTCGTATGGTAGATACGATCAACATGAAGATGTTCACCGATGTTGACTAGTCCGTCTCACGTGATGATCGGACACGGCCTAGTTGACTCGGATCATGTAATCACTTAGATGACTAGAGGGATGTCTATCTGAGTGGGAGTTCATAAGATGAACTTAATTATCCTGAACATAGTCAAAAGGTCTTCGCAAATTATGTCGTAGCTCGCGCTTCAGTTCTACTGTTTAGATATGTTCCTAGAGAAAATTTAGTTGAAAGTTGGTAGTAGCAATTATGCGGACTAGGTCCGTAGACTGAGGTTTGTCTTCATTGCTTCATAGAAGGCTTATGTCCTTAATGCACCGCTCAGTGTGCTGAACCTCGAACATCGTCTGTGGATGTTGCGAACATCTGACATACACATTTTGATAACTACGTGATAGTTCAGTTAAACGGTTTAGAGTTGAGGCACCGAAGACGTTTTGAAATGTCGCGAAACATATGAGATGTTTCGAGGGCTGAAATTGGGATTTCAGGCTCGTGCCCACGTCAAGAGGTATGAGACCTCCGACGATTTTCTTAGCC